GGTACTTTAATAGGTATTGCATTGAATCTGTAAATTGCTTTGGGTAGTATGGACATTTTGATGATGTTAATTCTTCCAATCCATGAACAAGGTATACGTTTCCCTTTGTTAGTATTTTCCTGATTTCTTTCTTCAGTGCTGTGTAGTTTTCTGCATACAAGTCTTTTACCTCCTTGGTTAGGTTTATTCCCAGATATTTTATTTTTCTTTTTGCTATATCGAATGGGATTTATTTCTTGATTTCTGCTTCTGCTGATTCATTGTTAGTATACAAAAATGCCTTTGATTTCTGGATATTGACTTTGTAACCAGCTGTTTTGCCAAATTCATTAATTATTCGAGCAGTTTTTGGGTAGAGTCTATAGGATTTTCCATGTACACTATCCTGTCATCTGCAAACAGTGACAGTTTTGCTTCCTCCTTTCCTATTTGGATGCCTTTTATTTCCTTTTCTTGCCTGATCACTGTGGCTAAAACTTCCAAAACTATATTGAATAGAAGTGGTGAAAGTGGACATCCTTGTCTTGTTCCTGATCTTAGTGGAAAAGCTTTTAGTTTTTGCCCATTGAGTATGATGTTGGCTGTAGGTCTCTCATATATGGCCTTTATTATATTGAGGAATGCTCCCTGTATTCCCACTTTGCTGAGTGTTTGTATCATAAATGGGTGTTGTACCTTATCAAAAGCTTTTTCCATGTCTATTGATATGATCATGTGGTTTTTGTCTTTGCTTTTGTTTATGTGATGAATTACATTTACTGATTTGCAAATGTTGAACCATCCTTGCATCCCTGGGATGAATCCCACTTGGTCTTGGTGTATGATCTTTTGGATATATTGTTGGATGGGATTTGCCAATATTTTGTTCAGGATTTTAGCATCTATGTTCATCAGCGATATTGGCCTGAAGTTTTCTTTCTTTGTTGTATCTCTATCTGGTTTTGGAATTAGGATGATGCTGGCTTCATAAAAGGAGTTTGGGAGTTTTCCATCCTTTTGGATTTTTTGGAATAGTCTGTGGAAAATAGGGGTTAGCTCTTCCTTAAGTGCTTTGTAGAATTCTCCTGTGAACCCATCTGGTCCGGGGCTTTTGTGTGATGGGAGTTTTTTGATTGCTGCTTCAATTTCTTTTGCTGTTATTGTATTCTTCATTTTAGATATTGCATTCTTCATTTCCAATTGGTTCTTATTTGTATTTTTATGTCCTTTTTCATGATGATGTAGTTTCCACTAAGTTCATTGTAGTTCTCTGTGCAACCTTAAAATCATGACTTTGAACCTTATGTCTGATAAATTGCTTGCTTTGATTTCATTTAGCTCTCTTTCTGGGGATTCCTTCTTTTGTTTTTTTTAGGAGTTGTTTCTATGTCTTCCCATTTTAACTGTCTCTTGTTGCTTGTTTTTACGTATTAGATAGGTCTGTTTTAATTCCCTGTTTTCATGAAATGGTCTTGTGTGGTAGAAATCCTTGGGACCCTATGGTGCAGTTTTCTTGATCTCCTGAGCTGCATGCTCTAGGAAAGTTCTTTGTGTGGTTTATGTGGGCTCTCCTATTGTATTTGGGTCTTGATTGTTGTTGGCCTATGGGTGAGATGTCCCCACTTGCTGGCTGACTGAGAGGCTCAACCCCAACCATGTCACATATGCTGATATATAGGTGCTGACAGAAAAAAAAACACACGCACACACAACAAAAACAAGCAAAAATACCCACCCTAACAATAGAAAACTCAGTGACAAAAGAGCAAAGAACAAGATAAGAAGAAAGAGATATAGAATAGTAAAAGAAATAAAAGAATGTGAGAAGACCAAAGAAAGAAAAATTAATATGAGTGAAGAGAAGAAAGAGAAACAGTAAGAGTAAGGAATATAAATAGAAAATGGCAAAGAAGAATAAAGAGAAAGAATAACAATAAGAAAAGGAAAGAAGAAAAACAATAGAGTAAGAAATGGAAAGAGGAAAATAAAAGATATGAAAATAGAGAAAAGAAGAAAGAAAAAATAAAATAGCTATAAAATAATTTAAATAATGGAAAAGAAAAAAAGTACAATTTTATAAGAAAGTATAGTGCCTGCCTGTTGGTTTCTTTATTTGGATACAGCTCTAATGTTGTCTGAAGCTGGTGTAACCCAATGTCAGATGCTATCCACATCTAGCCTTTGGCAGCGTGTTCGAAACTAGAAGAGACCCACAGTTTGTGGCTGTCTTCTCCAGGTTTGGCTACACAGAGGATAGGCCACACTGCACTGCAAGGCTGACTTTTATCAGCACTTGGTGTAGGGGTAGGTCAGCAAACATCTCAAGGCATTGCAGGACCCACCTCCACCTGCATCTGCCTGATGGCCTGGTCAGTTTTAGTTGCTGACCCAACATTTTCTGAGAGCACTTCTGGTGGAATTGGGAGGATGGACCCCTTGAATTTCCTGTGGCAGAGAGGTACTATTTAGACTTCAGAAAGATGGTGGGTATGTTTCCCCACTGCAAGCCACACGTCTCAGTCTGTTCCAGATTATTTCCCTGATCTTTGCAGGGAACACCTAGTAGGAAAGCTTATGGGGCCTCCAGAGCCCAGAGTTGGGTCTGTCAGAAACCAGGAGGGTGTTTTCCCTGTGAGGGGGAAAGCACCAGTCTGATTCCTAGAAAGCGTATGGAATGGCTGCTCACTAAAACCGGTCTCTGACATCCCCTGAGTCTGCCTATGTTGCTATCTCCTCAGCAGGGAGTTAAGATGCAGGGTGGGGGAAAAGATGCAGCGTAGGGTGAGCAGGGATCCCGAGGGTGAGGCTAGTCGGATGCCAGAAGATGGGACGAGTAGCACTCCAGAAGGTGAGGTAAGCAGTATCCTACATGGTGGGGTAATTGTTTTTCCCCTATGAAAGGCTTGCTCTTCTCAAGAAAAATGGCTGCTGCAGTATCAGGGGATGTCCTGGCACAGGGATCCCAGCAGCCACTCTGCTACACTTCTCTCCAGTGCCTCCCCTTCCAGACTCATCAGGGGACTGTAACCTGCACTGCCCTTCCTTCACCAAAGTCCAAGGTGAGTGCCTGTGAACAACAAAAACAACAACAAAAAATGGTGTTTTGGCCCTTTAAAAAATAGTGACTTTTTCTCCAGCAGGCTCCATTTCTCCCCAACACACAGAAACCCCACAGCTTTTCACCACTGGATGCTATTTGGGCAGCAAATTTGAGTTCTGGTGCTGCTCCATAATTGGGAGCCCAGTCTGGAGTCCACATTTTATTCCTCTCAGGGGGAAGAGCCCATAGCTGTGCAGTAACCTCAGCCTGGTACCCTTGGGAGCAGGGTCGGGTCATTGTTTTTCCCCTTTTGTGTCTCTACCCTTCCTACCATTCTCAAGGTGGTTTCTGCTTGTCCTTGGTTAAAAGTCTCCTCTTCAGGTAGTCTTTGGTTGGTTATTTCAGGCAGCTGTTCCCTTCTTTAGTTTTATTTCTAGTTTGGTTCTGGGAAGAGATAAAAGAAGGATACTCCACCACCATCTTGTGCTCCCCTCCCCAAATCTGTATGCTTATGTGGAAAGAGCAAAGAGGAGAATTCTGGCATTGGTTAAAATTTTTAATCCAAGTAACAATTTTTAAAATTGTTACTTGATTTCTCTGAACCTCAGTTTCCTCAAATGTGTGGTGGTGTAGCAATGTCTGTCTACCTTGTAGAATTGGAAATTGGATGGTTAAGTGAAATAAAAATTAAATATATCAGGTCTGTTAAGAAGGTATCCAGCCATGTAATATGAAAAATAGACATTCACTGAAGAAGATATAAGATAAAAAAAAACATTGTACATAGGACAATGATGTCTCAGTCCCCATTTGAAATAGGCAGCTTAGGACTCCATACAGTTTTCCCTATTACAATCAGCTGCCCTGTCATATTTTCCTGAATCTCATTGACAGTCTGAAATCTCCTTTAAGAGGTGATTTTAGTTTTGGGAAAAGCCAGGTATCACAGGGTGCCAAATCTGGGTGGTAGGGGACCTGAGTCACCCAGGTGATTTGATGTTTTGCCAAAAACTCTGCACAAGACGATGCATGAATGGGCATGTTGTCATGAAGCTGTCAATCACCAGGCACCCATAACTGTAGCCTTCTGAATCATCCAAATAGTTTCTGTGGAAGAATGTTCAAGCTTAAAGCTCAATTTGATGCAGATCTGTTGCTCTACCTTCTCAGTCATTTTGACTGCGACAGCCACACAGTACACACACTCACTCAATGGCCTGTACCACCCCAGATAACTGGTACAGTGAAGTCATCATTATTCACATGTGGACATTCCTGTACATTCTCCTTGGCTGCCAGGTTACAACAGTGTTGTACAAACCATTCTTATTATATTAACAATGGCTGAACTTTTTCAGGACAGCCTTTGTATATGTTATTTCTCCCCTACCTTAGTACCTGGAAGGTACTCTTTTATCATAGAAGGAGCGGAAGAGTAATAGAGATGCCCTCTCCTTGTCTTTTGGAGCTGTAAGGTGACCCCTCATGTCCATTCTGGGTTTTGGTGGTTGTGGTTCATGCGAGTGTGCTTCCCATGCTAGTTGGTACTCAGTTCACGGATGTGGGCATAGTAGAAGTCCCCAGAAGACCTTTTCATGATTGAGTACTCTTCTATCTGACAACAGGAAGAGAACCTCTGGGTAGTGACAGGTTTACTACCCTGGCTAAGGAGGCTCAGCAGAGGGGTGGAAAGGCAAAACCAGGCTTGGTGCACCACCACCAGCCTCAGGGACAGGGTAAATGTAAGGACTGTGGCCACAATAAAAGCCGTAGGGATAACTCAGTGAGGAGAGACTGAAAGGTGGTAGAGGGAAGAAAACTTTAAATGAGCAAAGATTCTAAGATCACAAAAGAGAGAAGGGAGGGAGGGACCAGTGGGGTGGGGGGAAAGGGGTGGAGAAAGAAAGAGTAGGAAGAAGTGGGAGGAGGGTGGGTGACAAATATGGATTAAAAAGAGGGTGGAAGAGGAGCAAATGACAGACTCAAGAACAAGGAACAGTGAGCAGTCAGAGGAGAGGCGGCCAGAGGACTAAGAAGCTTCTCTGGACTAAGAAGCTTCTCTGGACTAAGAAACTCCAGAGAGGAGGAAAAGAAGGTAAGGGTAGACTTGAATTTTAAAAGATAAAACTACCAGTTGAGGGGGAGAAGCCAGCAAAGAGAGAGCTTTTAATTCCAGGCTAGATGAAAACAAAGCTCTTTGTACCTGTGGGTTCATTCCCTATCCTTCAGTGTTCCCTGTGATGGTAAGGTTTGGATATATGAAAGAGGCTGTTTTACAAAGCTGAGATAAATGACTTACTTGGTATATAATGAGCTGTAGAAAGGCTAGTGGAGGACCCTAGGAGTTAGTTCACTCCCTGTGCAGTTGCAGTAGTCCAAGAGCATCTTACAAAGGGTCACCATCCACTTCTAAGCACATTTTAAAAGATAAAATTGGCCCTTTAAAAAGCCATCACTATTTCACAATGCTTCCTCTAGGCTTGGAATCTTTTTTGAAATGTTTTTCAGAACATCTAGGAGAGTGTTTCAATTCTTTTCCTCCTAAGGCATGTTGGAAGGTTTAAAAATATTCCCTGCTTAGTTTCCTACAGAGTATCATGTCCCGCTGGGCATTGTGAGCAATTTGGCCTCTCCCTTGCTATCAGGGGCAAGAGGCTAGTGAGACCAGAGAAGAAGCCAAGAAAGATACCCACTGAAGGTCACGTTTCCTCCTGGGTGCAGGTCAAGGTAGAAGACTGCTGGGCTAAAGGTTTCTGTCAGCTCCTTGACCTCTCTTCTAAGCATGTAGCAAAAGAACCTGGACTCAGTAGCTGGGAGACTAGGGCACTAAGTTGCTGGATAGCCTTGAGCACTTCCAGACACTACCCCTTCTGAGCCTCGGTTCCCTCTTCTATAGACATGAGGGGTTTGAAGGAGAAGGATCCCTCTGGTTCTATTCAGCAGTAACATAGTATAAGGTTATGATTCCTTAGGCTCAAATATAACTCAGCTGAAAAAAGTAAGATTGACACAAGGATTTTATATCTTTACTGTGCCTTTGTTCAGTTTTTTCCTTTATTTTGCCTCCCCATGTCTCATAATGGAGGGATTCCTGGTTCTTACTCCTCAGGATCTCACTTGGCTGTTTCCTGAACAAGGTTCTGACACACCAGGTCCAACTGGCCTGAGAGAAGGAAGGGCAATGCAAGGAGCACTAGACAGCGAGTTGGGAGAACTGAGAGAAACCCAGCAAAACTAAATAGAGAAGAGACTTTTGGGCTCAAAGCTGGGGACACAAGTTTGTATTCAGAGGCATCCCAGCCTGACTTTTACATCAACAGACCAAGCAGTCTCCATCTCCTCCATCCACTGCCCCTCGAGTCACAGCCAAGACCCTGATTCACTGCTCTCCAGGGACAGATCTGAACTTTCCACCTTCCTTCCAGACTCCCCAGGGTGGCAGAACTGGTTGGAGCCTGATCCCTGGCTGTCCCTCTAAGTTTTTTTCTCACTTGGCAACTGCCAAGGAACAGTCCCAGAGATCATAGCATGCACTGCAGTGAATACCCTGAGGTGTGTTCCCTGATTTCCAACCTGGCACACTCAGGGGATCACCTCACCTAGACACATGAAGTTCAGAGAGCCATGGCAGTAACATAATTATGTTGCCCTGCTTTGCAACTGCCTCAGAACCCCCAGAGATGTTCTTGCTGGGCTCTTGCAACTGATCATACTTCTTGTCTCCTAGATGCCTCACTCCTATTTCCTCGCCTAGTCCTGAGCCATTAGAACTAGAAGTTTCTTAGATTGCCTATCAATCTGTTCTTTGACAACTAAGGAAAGCAAAGCCTGGAAAATGGAAGTAACTTGTTGGAGATGACCCAGGGATTCAGGGCCAGTTCACTTGGGAAAACATACTGCTCTGTTCACTCCCACTAGGGCTCTTCTGACTTCTGTCCTTGGCTGTGGTTTCTGAGCCTCTGTCTCTTCCCAAGCCTCCCTGCTTCTTCCATTTAAGCATCTCTACAGTCCTGTTTTCTGGCAGGAATACCCACATGCCCAACTGTTTTTTGTCATCAGTTCTGGCTAGTTGTGGGGCTCATACTGTGGAAAGTTTGAGCTCTAGCAGCAAGCAGGCTGCCACAGTGCAGGCTGGCCTCTTGGATATAGGCTGACTCCATTTTGGGACAGAACCAATTCAAACAGGACAGGGAATCTGTCTGTGTGGGTCAATCAGGACAGGGACTAGAAGACCTGCTATCCTCAGGGCCAGTGAGACCCCAAGCCCAGGCTCTGCCCTCTTTCCCAGGGAAGACCTCACCCACCAAGAATTCCAGCAACTCTGTGTGAACTGGCCCCATTTTAGACTTAAGGATTGAGCTGACCAATGGGGAAAGACATTCATTTTTCCAGGAAAGCTTTGGGATTCTTAGAAAAGAAGCTGACTTCATTTCTATGGTCAGAAGCTGCTGGCTCCTGGCAAATGACAGCTTAATGCCATTTTATGACTCAGTTGTTTCTGATATATTAGCAAATGAAGGGCAAGAAAAATTCATCCTTCAACAATCCACTCACTTTCACAAGAAAATGGAGTTATGAGGTCCCAGAATCAGAGGTATTGAAATAACACAGAGGGACTTGTAGTTTATATAATTCAGGAGTAAGGCTAATGTTACATTTAGAGTAACATTTGGATTAGAATTTCAATTGAGTGACCTTGGCGACATATTTAATGTCTTTGATCCTCTGTTTCTTCATCTTCCAAAGAGGTTAATAAATGCCTTCCTTGTGAGATTTTATGAGGATTAAATAAAATAATGTACTTAAAATGGCTATCACCTAATAAGTGCTCAACGAACCATAAACATCAGGGAGAACCCAAGTCCTTGGCCCAAATTGCATTTCATTCAGTGCAAAGGCCTTTCTACAATGGAGGCTTGCTGTGAGATGTAATTCACAGGTACTGCTTGGTTTTTATGACCACAGATTTCTTTTGTCTGGAATTATTGCTGCTTACATTTAAACCAGGAGTCAGAAAATCTGGATTTGCCTCTTGGCTTTGCCACTGACTTGCTATACTATGACAAGTGGGTGACTCACAAATATCCCAGATATTCTCATTTAGAGCTAGAGGTGCCTTAGCAACCATCCAGTTCAGCCACTTGGTTTTACACATGAGTGAACTGAGGCTCAAGGAGGGGTAATGTCTTATCTGGGGTCACAAAGAAACTGGACCCTTATCTGGGGTCCAGCTGAAATTGGAAAGAGCCTCTCTTATGAGGCTCTTGTTCACTGAGAGGACTTGTAGATTCTTCATCAACCCTGGCATCTTGATGAGTCAGAATTTCAGTACAGGGAAGATGTCTTTGGGGAGTCCGGATGCCCCTTTTCCTCAGATCACAGAGTAGAAAACCTCCTATTTCTTGTCCAAGTAGAAATGGGCCAGTTTCAGACCTACCATTGTGGGCGTGCCTTCAGATTGGTGATGAGATTCAAAGAATTGCAGGAAACACACATTTTATAATATGGAGTCCAGCTCCAGGACCAACAGCTTGAGTTAAAAAAAGTTGGGGGACAGACTGGACCAAATACAAAACCAAGAGAGGCCTGATATGCACCTCTCTTCTTCTCTACCCCTGCCTCCAGGGATCTTCATGTCTAGTAGAATAACTAATTTACAGATTAATTAATATTCTTCCCATTGCCCATGTTTTTCCCTTCTCTGATAGTCACCTTTCTCCACTTGGTATCACATGGGGGTCCTTGCTGTGTCACTCTAACCAGTCCACTGTACTATCAAATTCTACATCAAGTTGGCTAGTTGGATCATGTTTGAGACAATTTTTTCTGGAACTGTCAGAAAAAAACAAACAAACAAACCCCACCCCCCAACATTATTGAGTAGCTACTATGTGCCAGTACTGTTCTAAGCAATTCCACACATCCACAGATTGTTAAATATACATTCTTTTTTTTCTTTTTCAGATGAGGAGAAAACTAAGAAGTTAAGTGACTTGTGTAAGGTCACACAACTAAAGAGCAATGGAGGCAGAGATAGAATCTCATTATTCCTTAGTAACCATGAGCCCCACCACCTAACTATTTGTTTCCTTTATTTTTGTTACAGTTTGACATCAGTGGAACAGTAGAGCCTGCTGTTTGGCCAGCTGAGAACCTGGCAGTAGGCACTGCTGCAGCCAAGAGCACTTAATGGCTAAAAAAGGAAATAACTTTCTATATGTGAATTCTGGCCAAATGGTGGCAGTTGTTGAAGTCTGGGAATCCTGATCAATGTAGACTGTAGGCGTGATGTAATCATTGATTCTAGGAATAGCATATGTAAGAGATAGCCAGAAGCTAAACAAAACACATTGGCCCTCCTATAGAAAGTAGAAAAGGCCCTATTTGAGGAGTTAAGGGACTGAGTTTTTGGTCATGTGTCTGTCACCAGCTGTCAGTACTAGAGCCTCTTTGATTTTACTTATCTTTTATAAACAGAAAATGTAGGCTTTGGAAGAGGGCATACCAGTTTCGAGTACTTTAGACAGTATTTGATAGTTGTGAGACTTTGCACAAGCCACTTAACCTCTGAGCCTCAGTTTTTTTCATCTTTAAAATGACATAATACTTCTTTCTTAGTAGAGTTAATATAAGGGCTAGAAAGTATAGTTGTACTGTGATTCACATGAGAAAAACACTTAGCGCTATCTATTGTTACTATTACTTAACTTTCTTTGGCCCTTGTCTTCATCTTGTATAAAAAAATGATATCTAGATTTTTTTTCCACTCTACTGTACTATGAATCTATGACAAGATGGTGGGAATAGTAAGGAAAGGTAACCATTTCAAAAATATAAATTTCATTAATAACTGCATAGCTACTAATCACCTCTCCCAGGACAATAAAAAAGTCTCTCAATATTTCATTGTAATTGCAGATCTCCATTTGCCACCCTTCCTATCATTCCTTATAAGTATTTTTTCTTCCAACATTTTAAGAAAAAAAAGTATTTACCCTAAAATAATTCTCTTTCTCCATTTTGCCTGCTCTTTTCCACCTCCTTGGCTTTGAAACAACTGTCTGTTAGCAGGGTGTCTCTGAGTGGACCACTCTG